CCTCCCTCCTCCCTCTCTCCCCTCCTCCCCCTATCCCTCTCCCTCCCCCCGCTCCCTCTATCCCTTCCTCCCCCTTTCCCTCCTTCTCACAACTCTCCCTCAATTCATGGATTGATTCTAATTATGCACACCGCGAAGGAAAGCCAAATACCGGTCCGTTTCTCGCAAACGCATCAGATGAACCTGTCCTGGATATCAGAGTCGTGCAAAGGGTTTTTGGGGCCCTAATACAAAGTAAAGATGGGGCCCTAGTGCAAAGTATAAAGATAGGTCCCTACCTGTTCGTAAAATGTGTATTAAAAAAGTTTTGAAGAGTTTAAAAAATATAACACACAAGACAGTATAATTAAAATTATAGCGGATCACAAATTACCAATTATGTACCTACATTATAGAAAATTAAGTAGATATACATATAAAAGCCAGGTTAAGTAAAAAATTGCATCACCGATTTATAATTTCATATTAAATTTTTTACATATAAAAATTTTATTTAATTTAAATTATTCTCTACTCTTTTATGAAGTATAAATGAAATGAATATCATTTGCACGTACAAATTAAATTAAATAGAACAGACATTAATTTAGAGATAGAAACAATAGAAACAACAAGATAAATCAAGGAGAAAAAAAGATTTGTTAAAACAACTGAAAACTTCACTGATTCAATAAATCCGCAATGTACGGACAGCCGGTTTTCTATATTAAAGCAATAAAGTACAGTTGAATAAAATTAGCGGTTGCAGATAATCATCGTTGTTATAATAGCACAGCACAAATTTGTTAATACAGCAAAGATATAAATTTTCTATTGTTACATTAGCAATTTTCATTGTAGCAAAGAATTTGCTGAATCAACATACTGATAATTGCTTATACAAATATAATTTCTTTGTTGAATCATCAAATCTTCTTAATTAAATATTGAACTCGCTATAGTTTTTCTGAACCATCCAATCTATTTTTTCTGTGATATATTTAAGTTATGTAACGTTAATATAGACAAGGTAAGCAACAAATATTCGACGGATTGCAAAGCTCACGATAAGATTTAATTGCAAAGACAATATGAACATTCTCAAAACAAGAAAGACAAAAATAAGGAGAGAAATTGAGTTAATAATCATACATGAGCGCCATGTTCTTTCGATCAATGTAGATATAAATTAAATCGATAAGATATGAGAGATTTAAATACATTAAATGTTTTAACAATAAGAACAAAGTGAACTTTTGGTTATTCCTTTTAAATTATTGCAACGGGTAAAACTTTGGGGTTCTTCAGCACTGGAGGAATCCCGCTAATGCATGTTGTGCACTTCTCTTTGCACGGTCCTGCAGGATGTGGAACCGTAACACCGAGATTGCGGGAGAATTTGGGATACGAGCGAATTTGCGAACTAACGAGGATGCGAGAATGACGTACCGGACGTGCGTCGGGGCGGACTTGCGTGTATCTGTTGTCGGCCAGTTTGGCTTGAACACCAAACCATCCCCGTTCAGAGGCGAAACGAGCGATTCTCGCGGCAGCGTTAATTAACGGTTGAACGTTTCTCGATAATTACGTCTATGACGTTTAAACAACATTTCTATATCGGTAGCTTTGTCCGCGCTGCAGTAGTCCCACTTTGATAAATTGTATCTGTTATACATTAAACGTAACTCTCTTTTAATCCGAGTTCCTTTTTTCCGTACTTATGCAGTACGAGCTCTAAAGCCGGTTGGATCGAAGTGCTTTCTTCCACGAAGAGAAAGGCCTTCGTATTATTTAAAATGAACTCCGTGAGCTCCCGGCGAGCGTGAAGAACACTATCGAATTTACGTGACTTCAAAGGGTTTACAGATAAAAGGCAGACGGCGATGGACCTGGTACCCGGAAATCGGAAACCTCAGTTACCTCGGTTATCCTTTGATTCCCATCGACGTCGTTCCGATACATTAAAATACATCGTAAACATATATAGAAAAAGTCTAAGCTCGCCGGCTCCCTGTATCAACTGAAAAAAAAAAAAAGCAATCAGGATTTACTATGCGTTTTCATGCGCGAAAACGTATCCCGCGCCGCAAAGCGGCAAACATTGAGCTCATTTAGATTTTACATTGCGAACGTGCTCGTATGATCGATGCGGTTTTCCCACCCGTACATCGATTCTGCGGTATTTTCCTTTCGCCGCAATATCTGAGGAATATAACGCGAAATTGAAGAAAAACAGTAAATATTTGCCCGCCGTACGAAAGCGCACGAGCAATGTAATGGCACGTTTTCTCATCGCACATTTAGCGTTAAATGCGAGTCTCGTCTCTCGTCGACGCGTTGCACCGCAATCTTTGCGTCAGACACGTAGGGAAATAAAAAAAAATATATATATATGTGTGAATCGTCGGCGACTGTAACGACTGAACAGCAGACAAGGAGCCTCTTCTTATATTTTCTATTTGAATTTAATATCCTTATGCAATACTTACCAAACGTGCCTTGTAATTACGATTACCATCTTTCAACTAGTGTTCTACTGGGGATCGTGGCTCTTCTGCTGGAAATCCTATTATCATGTCGGAGATATAACTGCACTGAGAGAAAAAGATAGTTGTATTTACTATAATTTGTAGTTATTTTTTGGAGCTACTATATTTTATAGTTGTTTTAACCATACAAAGTCAATAGTGCTATTAATAATAGTCACACACCCTGTTTGAAAATTTTTATTTTTTTTTTTAATATATTTTTTATTATTACTACCACATAAATAGTAAGAAAAAACAAACGTTAATAAAAGTGGCTTCAAATTTAAAAATGTCAACAATAAGGAGCATTCAGCCACAACGCTAGATGTATTCAGCTATCTATAGTCATATATTTAAAATTATAATTATATATAGACGTTTCGTTCAATATTTGACCATCTTCAGTACAAATATAAAAGAGTTATTACAATAAACACAATTAGATAAAATCTCAGGTCCAAATGAAAAAGTTGATATACACATCGTCAGATGGATTAACATTAATTACGAAATGACATGAAATACGCTGTGTTATACAATAACGCGAAGAACATTTCTAATAATAAGAAAAATACTTATATTCACTATAATTACGATTGTCTATTTTATTTACTTTTATATTTTGATATTTTTATACCATATTAATATTTGAAATTACAATTTATAGTATAATTTTGTCATGCTTGAGAGAACTATCATATATATATATATGGTTATTATTACCAACATTATAACCGTAAACCGACCATAGGATCTCCCCTGATTATAATTATTTTACCATGTAATTGTAATAGTCATAAATACCAAACACTTTTCTTTCAATGTAGTAGTACTGAAATTGCTGAAATTGAAACTTTCATATTGGAACATTTTCCGGCTTCCTGCGGGAAATATATTTCCAAAAACCGGAGAAAATCAACGCGTACATTAAAAAAAAAAAACACTAAAAAATCAAATTAAATTTTGAGCGATTAAACGGAGATTTTTTTCCATGTGTCGGAGATTTGATAAAAAAGCTAATCTCCAGCCGAAAATCAGAGAGGCGGCAACCGTGCTTGTAATCCAAATGAGAAGTATTATACTACGATCTTGGAGAACAGATTCTCCCGGCCATTCAACCCCCGCAATAAATGGCAGTCTGGGATTAAAAACTGGTCGAATCAAAAATCACCAAAATGTTCTTACAGCTAAACCGCTAATCGCGGACGTTGTCGGATTTTTCTCTCAATAATTGGAGATTCTCGAGGGGCGTGGAGGATTAATTAATCAACGTCGTGCGCGCGCTTTAACGCGGAACGTCATCCTCGCGCGTTCACGTGTGCGAGATAAAGAGATAATTGCGGTTAGTTGCGACACTTGGTGTGCTCGTGAACGGCGAAAAGCGAACGAGCTCTTTCTGTGTGAGAGCTGCGGAGATTGATTTTAATTACGCGTTCTCTCCGGAAGCGACCGAAGTGCCGCTCCGTTTTACTATGCAAGAAGACTGTCTCGTTCGCGATAGTGCGCATAATTACAGCGGCGAAACGAACGGACGCGTAAATTACAACTGTAGCGACTGTCACTGTGCGAAATAAACCATCGCGATAAAAATCTAGTAAAAATTTTATACCTTTTTATTTCGAAGGATTTACGTTTTCCTCATTAGAACGCGCGCAAATATTAATCATTAACGCAAACAATTGTGCAAGCCGCCGATCTGTTGCCTTTGAACGTTTCGGTCTCGGAATGGACGGTCCGGGTCCCAGATTAATTTTTATTACTTTAACAAATATATAAAAATTGTTAAATGATTTTACATACACTTTAATACCTTTAGAAAGTATTTATAAGGTTGTGTGTGTGTGTATTTAAAAAAATTATAACCAATTATTTGCTGTTCATAATTTTTCGAAGAAATGAAATGTACAGGACACGAATAATCCAATCGTGTGTTCTAAGAGTTAAGAATACGGAGATTTGGATTGTACGTTGCGAATGCGGTGTCGGATTGACTTGCGTGTCAGAATCCTTCAAAAAGGAACGGTCGCAATCAACTTGATCGTGCGAATTTTATCCGCAGGACGGTCTGAACAATGGCACCACCGGCGTCGAGATCAAGGTGGCGGACATTCAGAACAGTCCGCCGGAATTCTTGGATTCCTTAACAGGCGTGGTGCGTGAGGACGATCCTATCGGGACCCTCGTGATGACCGTAAAGGCCCGAGATGGCGACAGAGGCATGCCTCGGAAGATGATCTACGAATTAGTCACTAGTGAGTATTCGATTTTCTTTCTCTTTTTATCTAGATCATACAAATACAAATTCGTATTCCCATCCGAGTTAAAGTCGAACTTTCAAACTAAGGTCAATTGAATTGTATATACGTGAATTAAACAAAGATAATTTATTATAATATAAAAATAATTTAGATGTTAGACAAATATAAGGCAACCGCACCTAATATGGCTTATCTAAGCTTTGCGCTTTTTTTGTAATTTTTTGCTGAGACCAAAATTGAAAAACTGATATTCAGATTCTTAAGGGAAAACATTTTTAGACATTAATTTGAAATATAAGGCATTTTCAAATATTTACTTAGGTGCCCTGGAGGTTAAGAAAAAGTGATATTTAGGTCAAATTGGGTACACATGTTATATGTTTACCTCTTTTTTATGAAATAGGTGTTAGAGAAATGAAAAATGGATTTAATGTCACTTTTATAATTTTATAACTTTTTTAACGTACGATATATTGACATATAAAAAGCACAAAAAATTATTTTCCAAATAATTAACTTACCTACTTGTCGACTTAACTTTCCGATGTTTAACAGGTGAATTAAAATCCATGGTCTAAAATATCAAAAGTACCAACAGAAAGCATTACAATCGATATGTATACACTTATTGCCAGTGTGTCTAAATTAGCCATATTGATTCTACCTTACAAAGAGTTTCCTCCCTTTAGTTATAAATAAAACGAACATATAAACTAAATACGATGTCGTAAAGTGTAAATAAAGAGTTACAATAATATAAACTGCGGAAATTAATAACCATCACTTGATGGTTATAGACAGCAATAATTTTTGAAATATTAGATCACGACATTCTGCATTTGGCTTCACTGATGACAGATGAACAAACTAAGCAATTAGCTGAGTAATTAACAAAAGTCACATCGACAGCCTGTAAGATGGTATTATTTATCGAATTGTGAAACTATCTACAAACAGCGAGAAGATCATATTGGGTACAGTTACCTTACAATTAGATATACGAATCTGTTTGTACTTAGTATAGCAGTATAATAGATCAAATTTTCATTGATAGAAAGTTTCAACAGATCCACGAAACACAGAATTTCGTAAGATTCATGATTTCGGGTAAAACGACTCGATAAGATTACAGAATTAATTATGGTGACACGAGCTTTCACGTGCAACAATAAAAGACTTTTACGTCACGAATGTCGAACGTCTGTCTTTCCCACAGACCCATTCGATTACTTCCTGCTGGACGACGACACGGGCGAGCTGAGGACGGCGAAGCCGCTGGACAGAGAGGCGCTGGAGAACTCGACGGGCGTGCTCACGCTAATTGTGAAGGCCCGCGAGCTGATCGACGGTATACCCGGGAACGACAAATTGACGGTATCGACGGCCGAGGCGACCGTGACAATTAAGGACGTCAATGACGAGCCGCCCACGTTTAATCGGCGCGAGTACAACATCGAAATCCCGGAGAACGTACAGGACGGCACGCCATTGCCGCATCTGGACATGACTGTGAAAGATCCGGATGTGGTGAGCACAGGGCCAATTCATTACCATAGATCAAATCTGTCCAACTTTAGCTCTGGAGCCGAAATGCAAGGTTGTACCAATGCAAAATTGTATTGAATATTTTTACGTCGACGGCCTTGCGTTTCGGCTCTGAAGCTAAAGTTGAATAGGCTTGCCATAGATATACCTGTCGTACGCGTTCGATTTTAAATGCAGAGCATTTTTCCGTGCTCTCTCTCTCTCTCTCTCTCTCTCTCTCTCAATTCTCGGGATGAAAATGGAACTGGAGCCCGCAGCATCCCGCATTCGAGCGCGGCCAATAATCCGGCGAATGCCGCCGTCATCGAAAAAATCAAGGGTTAATCCGACACGCGCGATAAACGCCTTTGTTAATGTATATAGCATTTACATTAATGTATTCGGCTTTTTGTAAAGCTCCCGTATGCTCGCGCGTAACAATAGCGAACAGTCGAAAAGGTGTCGGGCGTATACAACTCGGTTATTAAATATCCGCACATTAATGGCAGTACAAAATGGAACGGCAAGGATAAATAATTCATGATGCGTTATAAAGCTTCAATTAAATATAATTATTATTTTGTCGCAGTCGTATTGATCGTTGGATGCTGCTAAACGTATTTTCATTGGTTACGTTTAGCAGAAAAAGCAACTGTTGTAAAATTCTTTAATACGATTGATTTGTATATTTAGAGATTTGTATATTCAGTGAGGAACTAATAAGGGAACATTCTAAATTGCAAAAATGATGTCGAAAAACTAACATTTCCAGTCGAAAGATCATATTTGAAATAGGTATTTTAGATGTCAACAAATCTTAGGATTTTATACTTGGCTTGGGCCGAAACATGTTTGGCCATTTTAATTTATATATTTCAAGAATATTAAAAAAAAAATTTTTTTAATAAAAAAATTGAAGAGTTTAAAGAGGGCCATCAGATGAACTTACCTGATCATAAATATACTTATAAGATGAGGTTGATTTTTTTCATTGGGCCCAAAATGGGTCCTGGACCCAAAATCTAAGTAGCTCTTCTGAGGGTCTCTTCAAACCTTTATAACTTTTATTTAAAACTTTAAAAAAATTTTGTTTGAAACATGTATTATTCTCGAGATACTTTGTGCCTAATAAGAGAACTACACGAAGTATTAAATTCTGATTTTAATGAAACTTTGAATACATATAGGTTACATAAAAAGATGAATTATAAAAATATTAGTTGTGTGGCGGAAAAACGGTTTGAAGGAATGAAATCACCTTTTATAGGCAACACGGGTTTTAGCTTTATTCGTCATATCTTAATTAAAAACTTCGAGATATCAAAAAATATTTTATATAAAATTTTTACAATAAAATTACCTCGTTCATTCACGTCAATAATATTTTTGAAAAATAAAATTTTTTTTTATTAAAAAATTGTTTATTAAAAACATTATTGACGTAAATGAATAGAGGTAATTTTATTGTAAACCTTTCGTATAAAACATTTTTTGATATCTCGAATAGTTTTCGAGATAAAACGGAAAAAACTCTCTGAAAAAACCGCTTTACCACATAAGGGGTGATTTCACCCATTCAAATTGTTTTTCCATCGCAACGGACATTTTCTAAATTCATCTTTTTACATAACCTCTATATATATATACAAAGTTTCATTAAAATCAGAATTTATTACTACGTATGGTTCAGTTGTAAGTTAAAATAGCCAAACATGTTTCGGCTCAAGTTGGGTACAGAATCCATAGAATCTCAAGATTTGATCTAGATCTCAAGATCTGAACCTATTAACCTATTTCAAATATAGTCTTTCAACTGATAATGTTAGTTTTTATATCACTTTACAATTTAAAACGTTCCCTTATAAGGAAAAGACCAATCATATTAAAGGATTTTGCAAAGCTGCTTTTTCTGTTGAACGCAGCTATTGTTCCGCGCGTAACGCGTTTCACCTTGCTCTTTCGATCGCGGGAGATTCTATCCAGCACACATCTCGCGAAGAGGGCTAAGCCCATGACATTTTCACTTTAAGGGCTTAAACTCCGTGTTCTCCTTGCGACTGGAGGACATAACGAGTGCGTTCACTGTGGAGCCCGTCTTGGCGACTGGCAGCACGTCCGTGAACATCCGCGTTACAAACGGCTCGCTTGATTACGAAAATCCTAATCAACGGAAATTCATTATCCTGGTAAGTCAGTTGGAAGTATTTACCTCTCTCGCCTTTTTCAATTAATTTTAAAATAAATTAAATCAATAATCCTTTCAAAAGAAAAATAATTCTTTCTTCACACTGAGAAAAATTTCTGGTTGAAAATGAACGAACCAGAAGATTCTGATCATATCAATCAGAATTCTAATTATTTCAACTAGAATTATAATAGATTCAATCAGAATGTTCTTGATTTGTCCATTTTCAATCAGAATTTCAATTAATGCAACTAAACTCTTTTTCCTGTGTAGAAGTGATGTAAAATAAATAGGAATTAATATAAAGCATAAAACGTAACGTAATCTGGTGAAAATAAAATTTACTTGATTGTTAATAATTAATTAATTAATTGTTTCATATTTGTTTACGATTTAATACAATAATCAGAAAGATATCAAATGATGTTTCTCTTTCTCTTTCCGAGGCAATTAATTATATAAGCCGATAATGATACGCAAAAATTGCGCGGAAAATAAATGTGTGACGTGGTGATTATCGTTATCAGGTCGTTGCCGAGGAAGTCCACACGAATCCGAAACTCTCGTCTACGGCGACGGTAACGATCTCCATCACGGATGCAAACGACAATGCTCCTTCCTTCGGGAGCCCCACGTACACAGCTACAGTGTCCGAGACGGCGGCCCCAGGGAGCCCAATTATAACGATTACGGCGAAGGATCGCGACAGCGGGCGGTAAGGGCTCGTTAAGCTCGCGCTTTGTACCGTGAGACATCAAAGCACGTTCACCCTTCATTTACGTCGCAATTCTCTGTTCCGCAGCTTCGGTACCGCTGGCATAGTCTACCAATTACTTGGCCAGGGCGCGGAGCACTTTGCGATCGACAAGAAAACCGGCACCATCACCGTCGCACCTTGCCCGACACCCGGCACTTCACCCTGTCTGGATTACGAGCAACAGACGGAGTACTTTCTCACTTACAAAGTAACCCTCATAATCACGATATTAATAAGCCTGATAATATTATTATATTTGAAAAGCAGAAATAATATAGAACTGCTCGAATTTTCCATTCATCTAGAATCTAGAATATATATTTTTCAATACGTTTCGACGTATTTATTGTAGAAGGTTTTATAAACGAGCAAAAACTAAACGTAGAGATTTTATAGTTGAGCAAAGATTCAATAAATATATTTTTTTAGGCGACAGATGATAATGGGGAAGGACAGACAACGAGCGTTTCGTTGCGCATCAGTCTGGTAGATGCGAACGATAGTCCGCCGCGTTTTCTACAGGACAAGTATCGTGCGGTAGTGGATGAAGGTGCAGAGAAATTCGAGCCCGAGCTGAAGGTGCAGGCGCGCGACAAGGACAAGACGTCCAAGATCACGTATGCTCTGGTGGGCGGTAATGAACTCGGCTTGTTCGCCGTCGATCCGGATACTGGCGAGATCACCATCAAGAGCCCAGTTGACATGACCAACGCCACCCACGATTGGATCGGTCTAACCATACAGGCGAGCGACGGTATATTCGTCGACTCCGCGCTCGTCAACATCACCGTCCGCGACGTTAACAACAACGCGCCCATGTTCCCGCACGACATATACACGGCCAGCATCGCGGAGATATCGCCGATCGGTAAGTATCTGGATTATCTGGATTACGCTTAACGACGATCGTGCGTGTCCCCGATTGCGCAATTACGAGCAATCTCGAGGGTGTAATCAAGGTCGCCGGATATGGGATATCTGCTTGGAACGATGTCCGTCAGCTAAGAGGACTTACATTCTCACCGCGAGACATTTCATTACCATTTACTGAACTAATCTCGGCAATTAAGTTGACTGTGGTAGTTGACTGTATTCGTCTTTTCAGGAACTGTCGTGGAGGAGGTAACCGCGACGGACGCCGACAGCGGAGTTAATGCGGAGTTGGTTTACAGAATACAGAAAGGAGCTTTCGACGATTTCACCATCAACGAAACCACCGGCGTCGTCACAGTATCCCGAAAATTGGATTACGACGAGAAGAACACGTATCATGTAGAAGTCATAGCGTTCGACAAAGGTAATTGTCATCACGATTGATAAAAAAAATTAAATGAAAAATAATGATAGTATTAGTGTTAATACACGCTCTGCACAAAAGCTAAATTTTTTACTTTATGAAATGCAATTTAACGTGTCGCTAAAATTATTGCAATTGACTCTATACGCTTACTCGATTTTTGCGTTTTATTTTAGGAACACCGAGCCTGACCGGAACGACGACGCTGATGATCGAAGTGGAGAACAGTAATGACAAGGCACCGTATTTTACGCCCGAAACGCAGTTGGCCGAAGTTACAGAGGACACACCAATAGGCACCGTTTTCACAACATTGAAAGCCACAGATCCGGATAGCACGAATCTTGAAGCTTTGAACTTCGCTATTTCCGAGCCAATCACCGCTATTGATAGAAATGGTCAACGCGTCAACGACAGCAAATCTTTTAAGGTACGGAGAATTTAACGAAATTTAACTCTCATTTAGAAAATTGTTTTGATCCATATAAATTAACGTTCTATCCACATATATGTATAAAGATAAAAGAATTTTTTTGTGCATGTGGTAAACATACACTATATATTTTTTCGTAAAAAATCTATATTATTCAATTTTCTAAATTCTAAAACATAGTAAATAATTAATACGTTTGATCAATTGTATATTTTATAAAGCATATGATTTATAGATAATGTGTGTGCGTGTGTGTGTATGTGTGTGTGGTGTGTGTGTTGTATTATTTTTAAAGTATTTCCTTATTTTCAGCTAGCTTATTTTTATCTTTTTATCATATTTATTTTCGTAGGACTTCTTCGCAGTCGATCGCGCTACCGGACAGGTTTCTGTCGTTCGAGCTTTGGATCGTGATATAGCGGCGACGGTAAGCGTTACGATTGTCGTAAGCGATACCACGGCACCTACGTTGCAGCAGGGACGAGGTAAATAATACATTTTTCCATAAAATGATACAAAATATTCTTTGTCATTTTTGACATGCATCATACAATTTTTAATAGGTAAGCTGGTAGTTACTATCATCGACGTGAACCACATGGCGCCAGAATTTCTGAAGCCGTGGACTCGAGAAAATCCACGATATCTGATAGAGATGCAAGAGGAGCAACCTACTGGTGCTGTCGTGGGTGCTTTTACGGCAACAGACGCTGATAGTAACATAGCGGGATACGCCATCGATCCGCCAAGCCCTTACTTCAATATTGATAATATTACCGGTAAGTTGCTCGTCGTGAGTCCCATGTCAGTTTCACGTAAGCCTGTACTAAAAGTCACCGTCGAAAATCAATTTGCTTACTCAAGCAGCACTTTACTATACGTAAGTGACATATTAAAGTAATCTCGAAATCATTTCTGTGAATAGAGAATGTTTAAATATCTTTGTTTTTTCACCGTATTATTATTATTACTCTTTTCATTGAGGAATAAATAAATTAGGTAAAAATGATTGATAATAAATCGGGTATATCCTAACGATTTTATGCGAGATACTAAATTTATATTTTTTACTAGCAAAAATCGATCTCTTTCAAATATACCTTTGTTTACAGGGATTGTAAGAACTAGTCAGGTGATCGATTATGAAGAAACAAAGCAGTTGGAATTCACGGTGGTTGCTTATGATTCCGGAGTGCCTCAACTTTCCACGACTGCGAAAGTTACCGTTACTGTGATTAACGTGAACGATCAGGATCCAAAGTTTGAGAAGGAGCTATATAACGCGTCAGTGAAAGAGAATTCTCCGCCTGGCACTCGCGTTACCGTCGTGAAAGCTACGGATGGTGATGAGGGACTTTTCGGCGATGTCAGTTACAGCTTGATTGGAGAACACGCTGCTGACTTTAACATCGGTAAGTTAACAAATACGATCGATTACATAGCTCTGGTTGTAAAATATAAAATATTGTACCAAATAAATTAAATATATCTATTACTTCTCTTTTATATTAAATATAAAAGCCTTTACTTCGTTGGATTTTTGATCATCAATATAAAATAATAATAAGGTTTAATTTTTTAATATTTACACGACTTTATGCAATTTTTAGGACATGAAACCGGAGAGATTACAGTAGGCGCTGCTACAGTTCTCGATAGAGAAGTGACGCCGGAAATCACCATAACGGTGATGGCCAGCGACGGCGCCCATATAAATTCTCGGCGAAGCACCACCGTGCCAGTGGTTGTCAAGTTAATTGACGAGAATGATAACAGACCAATATTCTCACAACACAGTTACAGAGCTTCTGTCGCGGAGAATTTGTCCGTTAATCCGCCGGCACCTATTTTGCAGGTATTGTCATCTAAAATCACCCTGAATAATCCCTTGAATAAAATAATGATTTACATCACAAATAGATAAGAATTTTTTCAAGTATAATCAAGCTTTTCTTTAATATAGAAAATGTTTCGAAAAAATTCTATAAAACTTAAAGTCAATCTTTTCATAGAGAAAATGTCAAGAGAAATCATCCTTTTCACTTTATAATGTTTAACTTCCAATATTCTTTGCAAGATTTTTAATATTAAAACATATATGTGTAAAATATATAATATATAAAATTAAAAAAAATTTTTAAAGTTTATAATAAAATTAACATATTTATGATGTTTTTTAAGGTACGAGCGGCAGATCAGGACGAAGGAACAAACGGCGAGGTCTGGTACACAATCATCAATGGAAACGAGAATGAATCGTTTTCATTAAACCGCGAAACTGGCATCCTGTACCCCGCAGCCGCCCTCCTCGGCAGAGCCGGTTCTTACAGGATCGAGGTCGAAGCACGCGACGGCGCCGGAAGTGGTCCGCACTCGGACAGATGTTATGTCGACATAAGAGTCACACCTGTGAATCAGCATAAACCGCAGTTCGTAATGCCGGAACTGACAAACGCGACCGTGGAAGTGCCAGAAGTACGTACAGAAGAAAGAATATTTCTTGTCAAGAATAAATATAAATAATCAATATAATATATGAAATATTAATGTAATATATTAATTGATGGTTAATTTTCAGAATGCAGGTGTGCCAAATTATCTAATATTAACTGTAAAAGCAATCGATAGAGATCCTGGCGAGAATGGTCGTGTTAGCTACCATTTGAAAATCGGTAATAGAAACGTTCAGGAAACTGAGGAATTTTCTATAGACCAAGAGACCGGCGAACTTCGATCGAAGATCATTCTCGACCGCGAGATCAAAAGCAAATTTGAAGTAAGTAATATATGAAACCATTTTCTAATGAGCTCGAAATTCTATGAACATTTTCTTTCAGCTTGTTCTTGTGGCAGCCGATCATGGTAGTCCTACAGCGTACGAAACACTTCGTTTATTAACAGTTCAATTAGTTGATACAAACGATAACGTGCCGCAATTCTACGAGGAATATAATTTCCATGTATCCGAGAATCGACCAAAGGATTATTTCATTGGCAAAGTTACAGCAGAGGATAAAGACGAAGGCAGACATGCCAAGGTTTATTATTACATAGAAGCAGGTAAATAAATAATATACACAAGATATCTAAAATCACACTTTTCTTTTAGTTATACCTTATAATTTCTTGATAAAAAAAAGCTATTTTTCGATAAATATGTTTTCACAATTTAAAGGTTCAGATATCTTAAGAATGTATTATTTATTTATTTTTTAAGGAAACGAAGGATACGCCTTTTACATGGACAAATCTGATGGCAGTATCTACGCGAACAAATCATTTGATCGCGAGACAAGAGATAAATATATTCTTTCTATTCTTGCGTCCAACGATCCCGATCTTTACATCAATCCTGCGCAATCTGGCCGACCATTGACTCACAATCCAGAACACGGACACGTGAATGTAACAATAACTGTGTTGGATGAAAACGATAATCCGCCCATCTTTGAACGCAATGATTATTATGCCGGTGTGAATTCCATGGCGAACATAAATGACTTCGTGACCAAAGTAACTGCCTCCGACTTGGATGTCGGAGACAATGGTACTCTCCATTACTATGTCGCCAGCGCGAATCTTTACAAATATAGCTCGGAAAAACCGAGCGGCTCGATAGTGCCAAGCCCGTTCAACGTCACGCAGGATGGTAAACTCGTTACGAGCGGATACATGGCGGAATACAATCAAGACAGATTTATCGTCGAAGTTATCGCCAAGGAGACGGCCATTCCAGAAAGATACGCGATGACCAGAGTTCATGTACGCTTTTTGCAATTGTCAATGTTATTATCTAATATTAGTTTCACATTAACACCGGCTTTGTGACGTGATATTATTGTTAGTATTGTATATTGTATATTGGTTTGTAAGATTTTTTTACACAATTGCTTTATTAAATATCTTCATTTTACAAATTTAATTAATTTTTATTTTTTGTCAAGGTATGGGTGTTTGAGCCATCTCAATTAATACGAGTCATACTATCCCGGCCTCCGGAGGAGGTGAATAGCGAACGCGACGAGATCGTTTCAGAATTATCCAATGCTACACAAAGTAGAGTCGTAGTGGACGATATTAGATATCATGTTGACGCTTCTGGACATATCCGCAGAGAATGGTAATTACACGCAAATATAATTCTTTCTGAAATTTTTCTGTCAATTTTTACATGTATATCATATGTATATATATATATATATATCGCATATCATCTATATGAAATAATTTTTTAGGTGCGACATGTATTTGCACGTTGTCGAACCGAAAACTCAAACTATCGCGCCAATACCTCATGTGCTCAAAGTCATTGATGCGAAGTATGATTTTTTAAAACACTACTACGCTGGGTTTGCCATAGAGAATGTCGTGGTAAGTACCGTGATATCGCGATTTAAAACTGTAGAAATGATTACTTTATAATAGTAAACTAGATAAAATAATTTTTCTTGTAGTATAACAACCGATAATATTACTAAAATTATTGAATATGTGCATAAAATTTACAATTATTTCAGCCCGCATATGCTGGGATTCAAGAAGAACCATTCGATCCTGCACTCGCTGCTTTAATAGCTCTTTTAGTTGTTCTACTCGTAGGTGCGGTTACTGTTACAGTCGTTTGTTGCTGTCTACGCCATTGGTAAGACTACTAAGATTTCAGACATGTTCTTATCTTACTCATTTATTCAATACATCTACATCAATGATGCTTCAGGGTGATAACTGTGCCAAATGATATACGTAAGAAGGACGGCCTAATTAAGAAACAGATCATTGACGAATTGAACACAACGGAGAATCCTCTATGGATCGAGCAGTAAGTCTTATTTCTCGCGCATGCATGACCTTACATGTGATATATGACGAAGTATTGTTCTTGATTGTAGAAAATTGAAGCTCTACGAGGAGCAGGAGTTAACGATGCAAGTGTTCAGCGAGCCCGAGGGCGGTCTCGGCGGCGAGAGACGCGGCAGTGGCGTAAGCGTCGGCATGGGTGATACATCCCAAGATAACACTTACGCAACCATCCAACATCCATTGCCTACGAACAGGCATCGTCCGACCACGCCGGATTACCCGACGCTTCCAGGAAATCATAATGTAAGTAATGCTAATGGATATTAACGGTAAAGTCGTCTTATAATACCGCTTTGTTTCACAGACTTAACTCTGATTAGTGATTCTCTCTTTGAGATCATAGTTTTAGCTGAAAGGAGTGTTCTGAAAATGACGATAATCAATATCAGTTGAACGATATTGGAATTAAGTAATGAATTACACGACTTGGAAGTAATAAAAAGGGCGTGTGCATTATATACAGATAAATAGAATATTTGCCCTCTCTAGTGTCTTTTTACTTTAAAAATCAATACATAAAAAAATTGTCATCGTTAATAATGCATAATAGATGTCAGTGCAATTGGTCTCCGAGTTCTTACAGAAATTTAATAATTAGTAAAGGTAGTGATTATTGAATTTTTTTTTTAAGTATTAAAAACACCATTATTTATTGTTGTGCTTTTAATACTCGAAGTAATTTCCAGTATTAAATTGTATTTCTGTAAGGGCTGTGAAGCATAATTCTTAAACACGCAATTTGTTTTTATGCTTCAGTTATACGAATCGGCAATGGGTTTTCAAGGATCAACGTTTCAGCCTTCCCCGAACGTGATGCCGCAACTGACGGTCGACCGCGACGGCCAGCCCCAGTTCGTTTCGGGGCTAATATAAATCAGCTCTGATACATGGGCACACTCAGCCCATCCTCTCCTCCTCCCTTTCTATCTTTAAATAAGCTCCGTCGCCGTACGTTGTACCTCTTTGTCCGCGGCTCTTTTTCATTGCACGCGCCTCTTCGGAGCGTACTTCGGGCGACTCGCATGCACACACCTCTTTGACAATAACCGAGTTAAATATTGGTCGGGTTTGTCTTGCGAGTAGACGCGTGTACGAGAAGAGCGACACGACACGACATGACATGAAACACGAGACACAACATTCGCGAGATCCGCCCTTTCTCACTTGCGTGACTTTTGCCATTTTCAGTTCAGACTCTTCCGCGAGAGCTTGCGAAAGGACTCATGATGAAGAGTGACGACGAACGACACAGTCAATATTACTGGAGTAATTAATCCCTGTAGCTGGTGTGTGCATGTATATATGTGTGCGTTGCCAACCTGGGGTCCCGTCTGACTTTATCGTTAGAGCTACTTTTTAGAAGAATCAAAAAAAAAGCAAAAGAAAAGAAAGAGAGAAGAATATAAGCTAGGTAAAATAGATACTGTGTGTGAGATAACTCGACACGACCGAAGCTTGGCACGACAGATATATGTATATAAGTGAATGTGTAGATTCCGTCCAGCCCAGTTTTTGTATTACTTTTCTCGTTAGTTTAATATTTATGCGTTTCCGAGGTACGTACGTGTGTTCGAAACGCGAACGCATCTTGTACGTTTTACAACGATCACTGCCACGTTTCTGGCATCTACGCGATACGGATTGCTGTATTTGCTGAACGAACAATTGCGTCATTGTTGCTACTCGCACAACGGAACGTTTATAATCAAGATAGTGTGTATAATTTCTAAGTTAGTACTGTTAATTTCGTGTTAGTATATTTATTTAAGATAGAATATTAAATGACTGATATTTTCTCTTCTTTCCAAGTAAACTGTGATTTGATTGCGCCCAAGTATGAGTGTGATGATTTAACTCGTAATGATTTTGCACGAGTCACTGGCGGTGGGCGGACATAGTCATATCATAGTTAGATGAAGTAATGACGCTCGCAGCGAATTCCAGTGTCATTACGGCGAAATAATCTTGCCTTCGAAAACCATGTCGACTTTACACTTTAATAGCGACTTCACAAACCGTCCTCGGCTGAGAACACAGAGATCGTGACCTTCGGGAATTCCCTGCGGATGCCACTTTCCGTAAAAAAAAAAAAACGTATCGCAACTACTCGATAACAACAGTAACTTAACTTACGATCGAGTTATTTCTAAGAACATTTAATGTAAAACTATTATCGGTATCATGATATTACTAGATGGTTATGAATATTCCAGTTAGCAAAAGTATCTGTTTTATTAATTACAAATTTATTGTAATATTGTAACATATTTTATGTAAGTCATTAATAAAAAATATTCATACACCAGATCTTGAATTAATCTGTAAAATATATGGACCTGTTTGAGATCAACTGCTTTTTTTTACTTTTATCTTGGCATTGTTCAAACAATTCAAGTCCTAGGATTTCTAGGATAGTTTTCAGTTTGTTCTTTTACTTCCTCAAGATTGCTTTCAGAGCCAAGTTGCTGAAAGTTTTTGTTTTTTGATTTTGGTGTAAAATCTAATATCCGAACCAGTGATTCCGGCTGGTCGAGCCATAATTTGTATCCTTTTTTTGTAGGATACTTTTTACTATTCATGCAAGTTAAACACATCCATTTGACACCCTTTATGGGCTTTGATACTAATCTAACTCTTGCTGTCTCCCCAGGTATGAGTGGACTTTGACAACATTTACATACAGTTCTTTTCAAATTTGGTTCCCTAAGATAACGAATCGTTAACACAACTCCTGTAAATAATTCCTTAAAATAAATCATCTAGAAACTTACGTGCGCAATACTGCCTTCTTAGCACAAGCAAACATATGGTTACCAAGGTAAGATGCCATAACTCGATTCTTTAATGCCATTAGATGACTAGCCTGTAAGGAAATATTGAATCACAATAACGTCATATGTTTCTACATTATTTTATCAAGTAAAAATTATCATAATGGTTAAATAAATATCGCTTATTGATGAATAATAAATTTCATAATTATTCATACCTGATATAAATAATTCATTCTATGAAAAACGTCTTTGTGCTGGCAAATTTGATTCTTTTCTATAAATATGTATATATGTTACAATAAATGTATATATATTTAGAAATATTTTAATAATATTTAACTCACTCATTATAAAATTTATTATTTATTGCTCCAACTTAGATCGATAATCAACAGCCTGACAATTTATATTGTTGAACAATAACGTAAACTATTCAATGTGTCAGTAATCAACTCCTTAATAACAGTTTCACACTTTTAAGGTTAGGTTGAACCGGTTGGGTTAAGTTAGATTACTTCCGTGCGGGGACTATTTGCAGCAAATGGCAGCTCCTTCTCATTTTAATGATACCTGCTGGAATAAATTTTTTGGAGATTAAACAAATACGAAGGCCAGAGCAAATGATAGCAAATAACAATTTTATTTTTCTCACAATACTTTATTATTAAACTTTTTAATTAAAAAATTCTTTGTTAAAAAATATATATAAAATCCGTAAGGACTAATTTCATTTTTAATTCTAACATTTCGTTTGTTACATGGTAACTGTATATAAAAAAAAATCATATATCTAGCCAAGTAACATTAGAATATAAACATTATCCTACACACTTTATATACCAACAGTATATAAACATGTGTATTTATATTTTAAGAATTAAATTAAACATAAATTCATTTAAATAATTTAATTTATTTTCCAATCAATATTTTAATCATTTTTATTACACTGTCGTAATATACTAAACAGGCATATCTCTCTCTCTCTCTCTCTCTCTCTCTCTCTCTCTCTCTCTCTCTCTCTCAACGCAAATAATAGATATATCTTTTCTTTTTTACATTGCTGAAAAATAGAAGAGCGGAAAATGTATATGGAATCGAGATTATCTCCTCAATACTTTTGTAATTTGTTTTGAATAATTTGATTTTTGCACCGATACGTTATTTATAAAAGCCTTTCCCATTCAGGATTTCTGAATGTAAAACTGATTCTAGATTTCTGAATACAGGCGTTGCGATACCCTTGATGGTATTCCTCTGACTTGCATTGGAAGAGTCCGATTCTCTGGATTTAGTTTTACATTTCCATGTCAAGTTCGGCGTAAATTCAACTTCCATATCAAGTATCTCTTCAGTATCAAAAGCACCGCCATTCATCGAATTCTGATTATCGTTTCTAAAAGGAAAGAAAAACATCATGAGCAACTATGTTCGATTAATGTTTGTTTCTACCAATGTAGATCAACTTTAATCTTGGTTTCATTTACTTTTTATCTTTTTCTAATTCTTAGAGAATTAGGAAAAGATAAAGAATAAATTAACTGAAACTTGTTCAAATTATAAAGTGTAAGCAAAAATATAGTACCGTGAATGATTTTCTTGTCCACCATTACTCTCATCATAGTGATAACCATATTCCGCTAGAACAATGTCCAAATTGTCGCACTGCTCTTTTAAATCTTTGTACATCTCTTGTGACTGTTTCAGTAACTGATCTGTCTTATCCAAAGATGGTTCCAATTTTGATTGAAGTTTTTCCATCTCTGCCTATGATTAATTGCACAATATATATAATCAAATGCTCACTTCACAATTTCTTCATAGTTAATACATTACTCATAATACATGATATCTTATTATGATATGATATATCGTATACTAAGGAGCAAGGATATAATTCAGGCTGCGTTTCAAAATTTATTACCAATGCTGCAAATTTGTAATAGGCGTAACATGAACAATGCTGGCAGTAAATTTTCAAACATATTCGTGGAATAATTACTTAGCAATATAACCAATGATGTTTGAGTGAGTAGGTTTGACTATGGTAGGAGTATGTTGGAGCATGTACACACAGTGACGCAAACAGATCTTAAGATATAGATTTTATCATATCAAAATAATAAAAAAATTATTAAACGATTATAGATTATTTTAAACCATATTTAAAAGTAATACAACAAATTTTTTTAATGACGGTTTACCATTTGGATTATAAGTTATTTCAAAATAAGTAGTATTTTATATAACAATAGAATAATAACAAATAAATAAACTAAAAAATGTTATTCAATAAAAACAAAATGTTATAAATGTAACGTTTATACATATATAGTTTATTTAAAGTAAAAATATTAATTAATATATGTTGGGTATGTCTATCAAATATATCATTAAATGAAAAATACTCAACCTTCCATTGTCCAATTGGATCTTTAAAAATCCAGACAAATTTTCAATTTTGAATCATTCTGCCTCAAATTCGGTCTCATATAAAAAAAAATACAAAAATATTTCGAATATCATTTTAAATCGTATTTTTGAATATTGAAAGAGTACAACACTTTTTTCAAACTTTTTAGATTCAAAAATCCTTTGAAAAACACAATCAGGCACAAGTGACCCGGTTAAGGAGTAGAATAGCAGTAAAAAAAATGTTGAATCATATAGGAAATGGTTTAATGGTCACATAGGAGAATTGGGGAACGCAAACTCCGAGATAATATTAACCGAACAGTATTTACACCAGTATTCCGTATAGTCTCCCGCAACCCCTCCAAATAGACACTAGTCTCAGCCGTACGCTCGGCGTAGCCGCCGATGAGAAGTTGCGGAGTTTTCCAGGTCTTAGAAAGTCTCTCGATGCCTTCATCGATATTGCGTGTTTTGCTTCGTAATCTGTCGAAATAATTCGAGCACGACGCAAATGTACTCTTCTCCATCCTTTGCTATCAGCTACACGCTGTTACACGCCAATGACTGCCAATGACTGAAGAATGGCTGACTTTCGGTTTGTTGTTGTTTACTACAGAATTAGAGGCCAGAGATGCGACATTGCGTCGGTTGGGTTAGGTCATCATCACCATTTTAAAGCTCCAGACACAATGGGTGCATTCAGTACTACGACCGCTCACTGAGCGCTCAGTGAGCTCTTGTATCTGTTTGGTCTATATTTTCAGATCTAACGGAATATGCCAATCAGATCCAAGAGCTCACTGAACGCTCAGTGAGCGGTTGTAGTACTGAATGCACTTAGTGGCTGCGTTCAGCAGAAAAAGCAGCTTTGCAACTACTGTAAAATTCTTGAATATGATTAGTTTATTTATACATTTAGATTATTCTTCAATATGATTGGTCTTGCTCCAATGAAACTAAGAGCAAGACCAATCATATTGAAGAATAATCTAAATGTATAAATAAACCAATCATATTCAAGAATTTTACAACAGTTGCAAAGCTGCTTTCTCTGCTGAACGCAATCAATGCGAAGGAATAGCGATAGCGATAGAAATAATCTGATTTCAACCTATCAGAAACTGTATAATCCAATATATCTGATTTCTGAAAGGTTGAAATCGTATTATTTCTATCGCTATCGGTATTCCTTCGCATT